AGTTGTTATCATTGTTTTGACGTACGCATGACTGCTGGATATAGATATAGAAGTCCAGAAAGACGAAACAGTACTCAATATCGATACACTGAATGTTTTATCAAACAGATAATTGTTGAAAGGTCGAGGTATTCAAACCTGCGGCCGCACCTTGCAACCAAACCAAAAATTCTTCTTGGACTAATTATAATGTTGCTTACTAAGTTTCAGTAACATTCATTTATGTTTAGCTAGTTGAGACAAATACATCGGACAGTAGAATGGTCATTTCTGGCTCATTAGCCGTCGTCAGCAAGTGACACCCAACTCCAGCGTCGCCGGCGAAATTGCTGCCATAATTGTGTTTCGAACCGACGATCTTGCCGCTCAGGGGCAAACGCCCTAGCCATTGCGCCACGAGTTCACTGTCTTGTCGGTTTTAGATCGGGAATATATAGTAATACGTACACCGATCTGTTTTTCAGGACGTACACATCCTGGTTGATGTCATTGCATGCGCCGGGGAGCTTCCATAACCGTCCAAACCTACCTACTGACGAGATAACATACTGACCGGGACGCTGGGTGACCGCCCGTACAGCAGAAAATTCTTCTTTCAGAAATAAAATATCAATACTTGAATGCTGCGCGTTGCTAAGGCTGAGATTTCACCGAGGTAATTTTCACAAGGGGTTTTCTTGTTTTGTTGCAGTTTTTAACTGGTTTCCACGGTTAATTCATAGATGCCAAGTATGTACGTAACGGTTTCAAACAGTTTACGCTTATGAGAGGAATAGAGCTAGGCCAGTGCACGGTCCTGAAGCCACTACATTCGGGCATTGGCCCTTATATGGATGATCCATTCTCTCTAATTCTGAAGCGGACTTTGTACTCAGGTAGGCAAAATGTAAAATTTTTAGCGTACATCATTATCATGCAGCAGTCTACTTGAGCGTTAACTAGGGTTAGCCCCTCAGTGCCGGAACGAAACGCAAGTGGTAAGGGCGGTTACCGTTTGAAATGGAAAGTTACGCTTACCGAATCAAAAAATGGAGAGAGAATATTAAACACTTATATTCCGGGAGAGAGAGAGAGCAAGCAAGGACTGGTTTTAAGACTTGATGCTCATCAGCGTATTTAATAAGGGCTACGTGTTGTCCCTCTGCGGAGAGCCCTCGAAAGCTGGATGGGTCAATAGACGAAACAATATCCTGGACCAACTGCCGGTTCAGCATCGATGCCCCGCCTAAAAGGTCGAGAAATTCAATTAAGTAGGACAAATGAAATTTTAAGAGTACCCCCATTATGTACTGGGGCTAGTATTAAGCTACGAATTAAACTCAAATATATATTTAAATTTTACTCTCGATATCTGCAGCGTATTTCCTCCATTCGGGGACGGAATTCCTTCACATCGTTGGCCGATGCAGGACTCCAGAGCCGTTCCGCAACCGGCGCTCCTCTGGGCCTTTAAGAGGACAGACAGAAATTTACAAAAATGCAAAAGACTGCACCTAACAATATCGAAACTAAAGCAAACGGTGGACAGTAACCTCAAGTGCTTTTTACAATCAGATTTTACGGCTGTCTGGTTGATGCGGAATAATATTAGGCGTTATGAACTGCGACATATATCCCCCTTTTGTGTGGAATTCTAGTAATTCGACAAGGATCTGGACAAAGGTCTTACCATGAGCGTGAAATTAAATTTGTGTCGTCGACGTATTCGGACCACATTGCTGCGCCACCACCCTTGAGAAGAGCCCTTTGCTTCTCGTCTGCTAAAAAATGAAAGTAAAAAAACGAATAGGAGTTGTTTTGCGAAACGAAACTTCTGTCTACGGAGGCCTTGAAAAGCAAGATATGTTTAGGTCCCGTGCATATTGTCTGTATCAAGCGTTGCTCAATTGCGACCGAACTATTTTCAGTTAAGTTTGGCGAGGGCGTTTGACTGTAATCCAAATAAGCCATAAATGCACAGAAGAGGGCAAATTGCAGAAGTAGTCGTCTAAAAATGCGGGCATACGCAACTATGTCTTACACGTATACCTTTTTTTTGAAGGTGTTCTTCGTGTCGGTATATAGGAGGCAAGTTACAAGCATAAGATGAAGACAGCGGGTGATGTAGCTCATATCTGGTTGCTAAACTCTAGTTAAGGGTTACGGATACCACAATTTTCAGCAGGTTCCTTTCTAGGAGAGAGTGGCAAGTTGACACAGGTTTCTTACTACACGGCTTGAAAAGTGTCCATTAACTCTTGGTCATCATCGAAAAGATGCATCACGCAAATACCCTACATCACGGGCAATTCCCGTTCTAGCGTCCTGCTTACGAGGCCCTATAAGTCATCCTTATCCTATTTGTTTATTAATAAATGCGCACGCCCCAAACCCATATGAACAAACCTCAGCAAACAGACATGAATGTACTGAAGCGGCT